CCCCTCCTGAGGGTGAAACCAGGAACAGCATGTCTCAGCTGTACGGAGACCACTCCCTGCTCCCTGATGACCATAAGTGGCAGGAAGAACCGTCGGTCACCATATACTTAGTGCCACGTAGCCCCGTTCCATGGACTAGCACAGATAATGAAGTAGAGGAGGTGGAGGGTCAGGAAGAAACCCATGCAGCCGATATATCATCTACTGTTACCGAGACCCAAGAACATGCTGGACCTGGTAAGTCTCTTGTAAAGTTCCTCTTGCCACCGCCAGCCAACTCCCGGGTTCATGCTGGTTGGATTTGGGGGGTCAGAGGGGAAGGGGAGAAATTCATGTGTTGCTGTAGGTGGGTCGCCATGTTCTTTCTGTGGTGGTGCGTGATGGGTTCGATAGCTCGTAATGTAACAGACGTCAAACTAATTATTTGCTTTAATTAAATTTTTGCAGCTAGCATGGGCAGTGGCATCCATGGACCTGTTTCTGAAGTGAATACCTGTAACTTTTGGGCAGTACGAGTAGTGCTCCACTGTTGCCGGGTCTGTTTCCGTGCCTGCCGGCATTTTGTGCACTGCATGGTAGGGGTACTTTCCTCCTGTTGTGGGGAAGGCAACCATTGCTTTTTTCTTTGTTTTCAGCCACCATGACCCATGGCTGCCCAGAAGGGTGCCATGCTTACACTACAACAGAGTGCTGCAAAGATTTTCACAGCAAGCATAGATGGTCCTGTGAAACCTTGCTTGAGATTTTGGTGGACTCCTTAATACCCAGAGTGGAACACACAGATGCCTGGCGGGACAAACTCCGTGACTTGCTGCATAAGGATGATGCCATCCTCAAGGAAGTGCGAGACACCATACGGAACTTCAAAGTCATGGTCGATGAGTCCTGTATTGAATTACAGAGGTCACAGGACACTTTCAATTATGCCTTTTGGAGTGTACAGAAGTACTTCTTAAATAAATGGGTACCACACCCAAAAGGGAAAAGTCGGTCAGCTCATCTTGCCTCTGTGCAAGACAAGTGGAGAATTACACCCAAGCCTGTTCCCCATCGCTCAGTGGGGTCACAGGAGGGCTATATGACTGCTAGAATGGCCAGGAAGGCGCCACTGGGTTTCAGAGAGATGGGGGCAGTTCAGGGTCATGGTGGAGTCTAGGCAAAGCAGCACAAGTAACTAGTGTCTTGCAAACAATAAAACCTCATGGTTTCCTGTCTTCCTGTGTCTGCCTCCATATCCACCCTTATACTGCTTGGTTGCAAAGGTGGATTTCATTCATTGTTTGGGTTCATTTCTCTGTTCATTTTTCCTGCCACTTGCTTCATGGTGCTGGGGGGGAAAGGCTGGCAATCTCTCTTGCACAGGCACACAGGGGGGCTCCAGAGGTAAACAGGGGCACTGCCTGGGTTGCAACACCAGCATTTTGCAAAGGCAGCACCCACTCTGCAAAGTCACTTTTGAGGCCATACCTACTTACTGCTTCTGATTTCACCACCCTTAGTTGGGAGAAGGGCAGTGGTGTGTCACCCCCCAACAGCCTGGCTTGCTTTTTTACAAGGCACCAGCCACTTTGTAAAGTTGCCCACAAGGGCTCATGCCTTCCCAGGCTCTTTGGCTCACCCTTCACAACTCTTGCATTTTTCCTAGACGGAAACTTTGAAAATGCGCTTTTTCAAGATTCTTTTCACACTCTTTTCCAGCCAGGTGCCAGGCACTGTCTTCTTCATTGTGGAACACCCAAGTGAGGCCGAGGGTGGGGGCCGCATGGGGTTTAAGACCTGCTTTGCTTGCACACAAACCCAGGGACTTTGCAAACTTTTCCACTTTCATTTCACGCTCTTTTCCACTCTGGCGCCAGTGTCTTGTTCTTTTTCCACACCAAAACAAGGCTGCTAGTTGCCCCACTCAAGCACTATAAATTGGGGAGCAGAGGCCAGGGTGCATGTTCACTGTATTGCAGAGGGAGGTTTGAGGCAGGTGAGGGACTACAGCACAGCGGGGACAGAGAAGGACTCATCCCAGTCACAAGACTTGCCCCTGGAGAGCACAGCAATGCGAATCCAGGGTTCGAGAAGACTGCAGGCTGATCAAGTGGGATGCAATGAAGCTTCGAGTGCTATTTGATCCCTGCACCTCTGCAACGTGCAACTCGAAAGAGGACATAGCTTCAGAGTAGCTAGGGTCAGGAAGGACCTGAACAGATCCCCCCCCCCCCTGCCACAGACAGGAATGAATGCTGGGTTCACAAGACCACAGACATGTGTTCATCTAACCTCTTTTTGAATTTACCCAAGGTAGGGGCAAAGACTACTTCCCTAGAAAGTTGGTTCCAGATTCTGGCCACCCTAACTGTAAAATATTGCCTCCTGATCTCTAACCTAAACCTATTCTCCATCAGCGTATTACCATTGTTCCTCGTTACCCCAAGTGGTGCTGGGGAGAAAAGGGCTCTTCCTATTTGCTGATGATATCCCCTGATGAGCTTGTAGGCAGCCACCAGGCCCCCCCTCAGCCTCCTCTTGCTGAGGCTGAACAGGTTCAGATCCCTCACTCTCTCCTCGTAGGGCCTGTCCTGTTGCCCTCTCACCAAATGGGTGGCCCTCCTCTGAACCCTCTCAAGGCTGGCCACATCCCTTTTAAAGTGCGGCGCCCGGTACTGGACGCAGTACTCCAATTGCGGCTTGACCAAAGTCGCAGAGGGGGAGTATCACCTCTCTGGACTGGCTTGAGATGCATCTTTGGATGCATGACAAGGTATGGCTGGCCTTGCTGGCTGCGGTCTGGCATTGGCAGCTCATGTTCATCTTGGAGTCAATGACTCCGAGATCCCTTTCCGCCTCTATGCTTTCAAGACGGGAACTCCCCAGCCTGTGTGTGTGCTGTGGATTCCTTCTCCCAAGGTGCAGCACCCTGCATTTGTCTACGTTGAACCCCATC